TAACTCAATAGATGGGTTTAGTATACTGGACCTAGCAGAAGAGAGGATTTAAGAGTTAGGTCAATAGAAAATATCCAGGCTGGAGCATGGTGAGTAAAGAAGATAGACAGTTTAGAAAAGAACACAAAAAACATAGGGACAGAATAAAAAACTAATACACATTTAGAGTCTCAAAGGAGTGTGGAGAGAACAGGGAAGAGCACTATTTGAAGAGATAACAGCCAAGAATGTTCCAAAACTGATGAAAGACATCAACCCACAGATTCAATGAGTGGTATAAAATACCACGCAGGGGGAAAAAGAAAGTACAAAGAAGACCCACATGTAGAAACATCATAAAAAAAAATTTGAAAACCTGAGAGAAAGAGAAAAATTTTAAAGCAGTCTTTCCCAAATGAAAGAAAAAAGAAAGGGAGGAAGGAAGGAAGGAAGGAAGGAAGGAAGGAAAGGAAGGAAGGGAGGGAAGAAAGAAAAGATTACATTTTAAATAGCAACAATAAGACAGCTGACTTCTCAACAAAAAATGATGGAAACCAAAACTGAAAGAAAGTAACTGCCAACCTGGAATTTGATACCTAACAGAAATACCCTAGAAAAGTGATTACAAAATAAAAACATTTACAACAAATAAACAAATATGAGAGAATTCTTTGCCAAAAGTTCCACAACAAAAGAATTATTAAACAGAATTCTTCTGGCAATAGGAAAAGGATCCCATGTGTAACAATCACTTTGCTATACACTAGGAATTAACACAACATTGTAAATCAACTATACCTCAATTAAAAAAAAAAAAAATAGGAAAAGGATCCCAAAGAGAAACAGAGAAATAAAGGAAGGAATGAAGAGCAACGGAGAGGGCAAATGTAGGTTAAATTTATAAAAGAAGGCAAAGCTTAGTTCTAAGAGTCTTTAGTTCAAATCTTCTAATTTGCAAAATGGCTAACTAGTATACAAGCAAGAATAACTGGTACTAATGTAAGAAACTGATAAAAATCTGCTACTCTGAGGGATGGTAAACATGATTTTCATTTCCTTAAATATTTTCTAAAAACCTTCCTTGTATATCTGATGCAGATTTGAGTATTACTGGGTGGATTTTTTAACTGCAATATCTAACAGTAAAAATAAAAATACATCAATTGAAAAGGGGGTGGGCCTGGAAATTCCCCAGTGGTCCAGTGGTTAAAACGGTGCTTTCACTGCCGTGGGCCTGGGTTCAATCCCTGGTCAGGGAACTAAGATCCCACATGCTGAGCAGTGTGGCCAAAAAAAAAAAGAAAAGAAAAGAAAGAAAGAAAAGGGGGTGAGCTTCTTACAAGTGCATGTGAATCAATAATTATCTTGAAATAAAAGGTTTGATTAAAAACAGACATGAGGATGCCCAAATTTGCCAAGAATCCCTGTGCCCCAAATGCAGTGCAGAAGCCACAGAGCTGCTAGACTTGAGGGGACCTCACAATAGACTGGAACGGGGGACACCTCTGTGGGGACCAGTGTGGACAGAGGATTAAGGCAAGAATGGTTTTCCAGGAACTAGAGGTCAGATGGAGATGGATACCAGATCCCCAGAAATAATGGAAATAGAATTTCTCATCATGCATGATATTTGCATATCAATTTAAATACTGTTTCAGGGAGCATAAGGCCCTTCCCTCTTCCCCATGAGAGCCATTCATGAATCCCTGGTTAAGGGCTCAGCTCTACAGAAAATTCTTTTTGTCTGGTTTTTCTTTCCATTTTTCTTCATCTTCCTCTCTCCCATTTCTCAATGAAGTATCATTTATTTAGGGCCTGAAAAGGAACCTTGGCAACAATAATAGCTCTGTTTTTTTGAGAGCATCTTCCATGTGTCAGGGCATTTTACGTATTAATGCTCCTAATAATTCTAGCAGGTAGGTATTAATATTTGCTATTTTTAGATGAGGGAACTGAGGCCCCAAAAGGTTGTTATCTTAAGTTACACAGCTTGTAAGATCAATGCAAGACTCAAATCATGGCTGACTGGCTCTAGAGCAGTGGTTCTCAAACACTGTGTGCATTAGAATCACCTGGGGACTTTAAAAAGGTCTCCATGCCTGAGCTGCACCCATCTGCCAATTAAGTCACAATCCCCGGAGACGGTCCCTGTATGTGAGTATTTTTTTTACCTCCCCAGCTTGATTCTGATATGCAGCGAGAGACCTGCTGCTCAGAGATGGTGTCCAAAAGCCTCTGTATCTGTTGTAGCCCCTGCCTAGGAAACAAGCCTGCATGGGGTCTGTAATCCCCAAATTCAGCACCACAAGTCACCCCAAATACTTATCACTAGACAGGGAGGCAGGAGCAAACAGGTGTTCCTTTCTTGTGTTTAGTTTAGGTACTTAGCTGATGGTGGCTCCCCATCCCACCTCATCCGAATTTTCTCTAGTTTCTCTCTTTAACTGCGCTCAGGTTTGCTGGCACTTCAGGCCAAAAAGCTCTCCTCCTCACGAACAAGTCCGTGTCTGGCCACAACTCTGGCTTCGGAGTAGTTGGGAGAGGGCCCTGGCGCGCCTGGGCAGGCTGCGCCCTCCAGCTGGTGGCTGCCTGAAGGACGCTCTCCAACACTCAGTTAGATGCTTTAATACTAACTGATTTATGCCTGGCAGGGAGAGAGAAGAACTGGCCAGCCAGTCCTGAGCCGATGAAGGCTAAGCGAATGCCCATGAAGGTGGTTCTCCCCGGGGCTCGGTGAACTGAGCCCCTCCGCCAGGAACACTCTCCCAGGCTTGTCACAACCTGGGTCCGAAAATCCAAACGGTGTGCCTTTGTCAAGGCCAGAGAGCCGTCACGATGAGGGCCTGTCTCTGGATGATTCCTTGGCAGCCACAGATCAAGAATTATGAGGGTTAGGTGATGGGGCGTGATGGCTAAAGGCAGGCGAGGGGAGTGCAGCTTGACCCAGGTTCAAATCCTGCCTCTATCACTCACCAGCTGTGCGGCTTAGAAGTTTCCTGATCTTTTGAAGTTTCAGTTTTACTCATTATAAAGTGGAAGTAAGTATAGCATCTTCCCTGTGGGAATTTTGGAAGAGTCCAATAAAATAATCCATATAAAGCACTTAGGACAGTGCCTAGCCAAAGTATCCAGTGAATGTTGATTACCACTTTTACATGTAACAATAGCCAAAGTACCTACTATGTGTTAACACTGGGCTCCAATCGAACTCTAATTAGAAGATGGTTAAGAGTAAGAGCCTTGGGCCTCAGGCCTCAAGATTCTGCAACAAAGGAGAGGAATTGTTACAGAGAGGCCAGGCCAAAAGAGGTAAAAGTAGGTCAATTAGCCACCTAAATGTTGCCGACTTGCAAGGAAGGACAGTTAGGCTGAGGCAGATTCACAAGCGCAGCCTGCACACGCAAGAGCATTTACGTCCCAGGCATCTCTTATTCATAACACTCGATTTTCTCACAAGAGATCCTACAGATCGTCTTATACAAAATCCTCATTTTACGATGGAGGACACCGAAGCCCAGAGGTCAGGGAGGTGGCCCCAGGCTTCACACTGGTGAGCGGCAGCCCGGGAGTAGAACGCGGGCTTCCTCGGCTCAGGGTCAACGTTCTTTCCATGACACCACCCCGTCCTTTGTAAACTATGTGAACAACAGATCACAACTGCTTGTGCTAAGCGTTTCTGTTCATTCCCACCACGGGAATATGTTGCCTCTGTACCAAGACAAAAAGAACAATCTAATTATGTATTTAGAAAATTTGGAACTCGGAATTTAGAGGTCAAATCCTGGACAAGGCTCTGTTCCTAACCAACTAGGGAATTATTAGGCTCTTTTGAGATTCTCTATCCTTTAGAGGGTGGCACACTTTTTCCGTAAAGTAAATATTTAGGCTTTCCAGGCTAGATGGACGGTCTCTGCTGCAACTACCGCAGCGTCTCTGTACTCAGCTCTGCTGTGGTGGCACCAAGACAGCCAGAGACAAGACACGAAGGCATTAATGCGACTGTATTCCAATTAAGCTTCATTTATGGGCACTTGCATCTCATAATTTTCAAGTGTCATGCAATATTATTCTTCTTTGGGATTTTTTCAACCATTTTAAAATGTTTGCAGACAGTACAAAAAGTAGTGGGCCTTGATTTGGCCCTTAGGCTATAGTTCCCTGAGCTCTGCTCTAGGAAATGAGCTTAAGAATATCTGCTCCACTTACTTCACTTTGAAATGTTTTACGAGTAAATATGTTAATTGCATAGGGAAGAATAGGGAAGCCCTGGTTTGACTATAGTTTGAAAAACCAGTGATCTAGAGAGTTTAGTTATACACATGTAATTAATGCAAACTAAGACTTTAGTTGTATATAAGTAATGTTATGTAGATGAAAAATGAACGTAGTTCTAGATTGCTTTAAGAGAAAAACAGTATCCAGGTCATAAGAAGAAATTATCCCAATATAATCTCCAACTCATGTGGTTCAGAACATGTGTATTTCTGAGAGCCAGCTTTACAGAGACTATTAACAAATCCGGTGGTACCCCCTGGAGGGGGAATTAAGATGTTGAGAGGTAAAACTATGTTTGAATGAGGAGGAAAGGTTGAGACTTATCCAGAGAGCAGAAATAGAGCTAATGGGTCAAAAGAAGACAGACATCAGTTCAACAGACAAACTTCCTGGAGCTGGAACTGGCCAACAGTATCGTGAGCTATATCTCATACAGTGAGAATATTCAGAATATTCCCATCACTGGGAACATTCAAGTAGAAGCCGGCTGGCCACCTATCAGGGATGCAGTATATTGTGCCTAGAAGACATTGCCTAGCAGTATATTGTGCTACATCTGCCTGGAAGGAGAATGGTACTCCCCAGCCTTCTTCCAGACAATCCCCAGAGTCAAGCCTTTCCTAGCTCTGAGTCTGGAGGCTGAGCAGACATTCTCACTCCCTGCCCCATTACCCTGTGCTTGGAAACCCATTTCTACTGACATGAACGGACTTTGGGTGCTTGAGTGAAAAGACCGAGTGTCTTACCCTTCTCGTTCATCATCCGTGTTGTAATACACCTGTGGAACAAAACAACAGGCTTACTGTAGGTTGGACACAAGAAATGGAAATATATTACATGATGCACAGACTTTCCCAAGGCATTACACTGTCTCAAAAAAGACAAAAGACAAATCTGTTTAATGATGCTGCACATGTGTGTCTGAGGAGATACAAATTTAGCCTCTTCACAGTCTCCCTAGGGTTAATTCTTAGAGTTTAATGAACTAAAATTGGAAATCAGATTACCTATAGCCCTAAGCCAAATCTTGCTTTTGACCTTAAGGAAATATTTTAGCAAGATCTAAAAATCATTGTTTACAAAGGCCTTGGAGCAGGGCCTGTGAGTAACCAATCCCATCCAGTCCACAGGAGAGCTGACTCCAGACAGAGTGCTTTGGAGAAGGGAGCGGAACAGGAAGTCCCCACGGCAGTAACCCCAGGCCTCTGTTTTTTCCCCAAAGGGACCTGGGTTACCCTGGCATCCCACGACCACAAAACTCTAGGAGTCAACTACCCTCAGGCCAGGAAAGGTCATTTACCCTCAGGCCAGGAAAGGTCATTTAGCTCTAGGGCAGAAGGAAAAGAGACTTCTTTTGGTGGCCAGCATGGCAGCAGGCAGAACCAGATTGAAAGACATTATGAAGCATCCTTATTTTACGCAACTCTGGAAATCCAGAGGGTATCTGCTATGTATGTTAAGTCCTCTTCATCCAATTATTTATGACAATTAATTGTGGGCCTTTTGTGAGCTTTAACTATGTGCTGCAGGACCATTTCCAAAAGACAATCCTTCATTTGGGTGAAGGATGAAACTCAAGTTAGTATCCAACATTCACACATTAACTTCAAAGTCACCTCTGGCTCTAGTCCATTTCTTCACTGTCCCTGCTGCAGCCACCTGGGAGAGAAACAGCTGTGTCTAGACTGACACTCTCCGTGGAAACTTTCTCAAAGGCTCGTGGCAGTTCCTGGGATGCTGCCAAACCCAAACTTAGTTATATAACAAAACTGGTTACCTGGAACTCTTTGGGAATGAGTCATTCTAGACATTAGCTCGGATTTCCACAGGGAACTTTTTCCTCTTAAACTTTTTAATGTCTATGGTTGTACTGTATACTTTGTTTCTTCTTAAACAGAGAACAATGAAGGTAACACGTTTCCTCCCCAGACCTCAAGTTTCAGTGTGGCATCAGAGCACTGGGATGTGCTAGTAATGGGACTGTCTATTTAGATGCATATAGAGTGGCCCACATAAGCAAGGGAGCCTGAGCCATAGCCCTGGACACACAACTGGATTTGGAGGAAAAGTTCCTGATGTTGGCTTGTCTTTTGCTGGTTTCTTTAAACGTGGCATAATACATCCACCCTGCTGCACCATCCTGGTAGGGTAATGGACAGCTCTCTGCAAAGGGGACTGGTGACCCAAAGCTGGAAGCAGCCTTCTCTGAAGTGTCCTCCTGGCCTCCTGAGCAGCCTCTGCTGCACCGTCCCTATCACCTCCTTGCACTGTCATTTCTCCTCCTCGCATGTAATGACCCACTGTTTCTTCCTTGTTGGCTGTAGGGCTTATTGCACAAATTTAATTTTTAGACAGTGTTTCTCAAACTTTAGAGTGCATAAAAACTATCTGGAGAACTTCTCATAAATGCAAATTCCCAGAGTCCCCCTTCAGAGATTTTAATTTGAAAGGCCTGGAATGGAACTTGGGAACCTGCGTTCTTATCAAGAATGCCTATACTTCCCTGGTGGCGCGGTGATTGGGAGTCCGCCTGCCGGTGCAGGGGACATGGGTTCGTGCCCTGGTCCTGGAGGGTCCCACGTGCCGTGGAGCGGCTGGGCCCGTGAGCCGTGGCCGCTGGGACTCCGTGTCCGGAGTCTGTGCTCCGCAACGGGAGATGCCACAACGGTGAGAGGTCCGCGGATGGCAAAAAAAAAAAGAATGCCTATGATCTGGGGGGTCGAGGGTTTACAAGCCACAAGTGGGGAGACGGTTCTTAAGGGTGTGAGGGAGGAATGATGTCCTCCCTGTGTTCAGGTGCCTTGAGGAAGGTTCATACCTGCCAAGTACATGTTATCCAGTGGGATGATGCCTCTGCCTCCCACAATTTCTCCCAAGCTCCCCTTGTCACTTCTTTATAAAGGCATTCCCGACAGAAGCCACAGTGCCTATCAGGACTTCAGTGTGAGGAGAGGGAGACTGAAGATCTTCACAGAGCCTGCACGTTGGGTTCATGCCCTCATATGAGGTTTTGATAACCGTCTGGTGAATGTACCAACCCACAAGTGAATCAGTGAGATAATGAGGGAGCAGGGGACATGTGGGCTGAGAGTGAAAAGCCTGCTCCCCAGGCCACGTGACCATAGCTGAGGTCCCTTCAGCGTGGCTCGGAGTGCTCACCGACCATGAAAGCTAAACAGCTGCTTGCTCCGCAGTTGTGCAGGGCTGCCGCGTGGTTGATTTTACCAGGCTCACGCCTGCAATGGGTACCACGGCCCTTCCTCCCGTACCCGCCCCTGCTCCCTTATGGGAAAACTGGCCCAGCTTTTGATCTGCCACAACTGGCTCTCATTTTGCCTGTCAAAGTCAGCCAAGCCCTGTCCCTTGCCCACTTCTCACGCCACGGCACTGCCCTCTTCCCTCCTGCCTCTGGACCCATCTCCCAAGGCTCCCAGCTTTTCTAAGAAAAGGCAGCCTTTAAAGTTCCAGCCAGCTACACAGTAGGCGCTCCTTTCCTTCGGCCAAGCAAGTTGATCAACCACAGGACATTCACCCATTGTTCTAGAGCACAGAAGAGTGTGTTCCTTTGCTGCCTGAAGCCCAGGCAGGCTCCCTAACTGAGCCCCTTAACTCTGACTCCAAGGCCACAGGGGAAGCCTGAGGCTCTTTAAGAACAGCCCCAGACAGCAGGACTTAACTTCGCAATGCCCCAGGGGACGCTGATTGGGCTGCTTTGCAAATTGCTGCAACCAACCAAGGTAAAGGCTACACTTTCCTTCTGATTCAGCCACAGGCTAGGAGCCCAGCTCAGGACACGGAGGGAGCAAGTGAGGCCAGAGGACTGACTGTCACAAGCAGTCAGATTTGGTCACTTTTCCTCTTAGGATTCATTTACAGCTTTGTGTATTTCAGAGAAATCTTGCCAAGAGAACAGGTCAGGCTGTCAGTTTTGACACCAGGCTGAAGCCAGAATCACAACAGTAAATAATAAGAGCAATTTAACTCAATTTTCCCCTCTCTCCTGGAAGGTGTGGACACCTAGCTTCAAAAAATCCCATGTATTTACAAAGACTGTAAATACACAAATCACCATCATGTTCTTGGGAATTAAAAAATAATAAAGATAGGTGCTGGCTCTCATAGCTTAATAAATCATAATATTCTTCCTCTCTTCTTTGTGTCCTTTTCCTATCAAACAAGTAAGACAAGATGGGAATGCTAAATTTTAGTGGAATGCACTCTAAGAAAAAACTATGGGTATTTTGTTGCCATGTTGTGTCAAAAACAGCAACTTTTTAAAAAAGCCCTGGTTGTACAACTGCTTTGTCTCATACACAAAATATTCTTCAGAAAGAGAAAGTTAAGCTGATAATGATTTCTGCTCCTAGACTAAGGTCAATTCTAATGAGTGTCTGAACACTTAGAATGGAAGAAAAACTGGAATGTGTCATTATGCACCTATTTCTCAACAGACCTTTCCTCAGAGGACTCTGAGTTTAAAAGAAAACTAATCAATACAAGAGTCGCTAAACCCAACTGGTTCGGTGAAAGACAATTCTGGCTAACACGGGGGAAGTAATTATCTCACACAATTTTAATTCATAATATAAAATAAATAATACTAAAGACATTACAAAAAGTCATCCATCTCCTAGCCCTACTCATCAAGTATTACAATTTGTCTTGTTCAAATTCAGGTATATATTTGGAATCACAGTATAGATACAAATGGCTATTGTACTTTTTTCCCCTCTGAACATTATCATAATGAGTTCCTATGTTGCTACATAGTTTTCATAATTATAATTTTAGTGGCTGCATAACAGTTCATCAACTGGAGCTACCATAATGAGTGAATTATTGGATCTTTATATTATAATAATATTTCTATAATTTCACTTATAGATATACCTAGAAGACAGGAACTTTTTTTAAAAGGCTTGTCTACAATCTCATTTTTCTCTTGGTGTGCAATTATTTACCTATTCAATGGAAACTGTTAATTTACTAAGGGGAAAATTGTTGATAGATTTTTATTTAATCAAAGAATTTTTCCTCTTGGGCAACTTTCGAAAGTTATGGGTGCAGTTCAACTTCCCACCATTAGATGGAGCTCCATCGCATCAGGTGGCTCCCACATGACAAAACTAACAAAACAAAACTTTTCTTACAGGTTATCAGCCTTCTTACTTTCTTCCTCTTTCATGGCTTTGTCAACACTTCGAGATTATCAGCTCACTCTCACCTTCCCCTTAGTAAGGTGGTTTCCTCTCCTGAGACATTCCTTTCTATAAAATTCCATTTTCTGTAGGGAACAGCTGACTTTTTGTTGAATTCACGGGTTTTATTTTTAAGATCGACAGTGCCTGAAGTGATGCTGTCTTAAGGCTCTACCAGCCCAGTGAATGGACGGCAGGCGGATGTTAGCAGGGAGGCCATACCTGTCCTGCCCTCTGCAGGTTTGCAAAGTGGACATCGGGTATGAAGAGGACGGGCTGGGAGTGCAGGTCAGGCATTGCCTTGAAGTAGGTGATGTCGCTCTTCTTCTGCAACGGAATCGCCGCCAACTTTCCATCAGAGGCTGGACACAATCACAAAACCCATAAGTGAGAGGGCTGTGAATGACTAAGAACTCTCACCTGTAAGATCTACTCTTAGCTAAAGTTCATGATTGCCTCCTGTGAAGCTTCCCAAACGCCATAGATGTGAACACACTTTAAAAGCCTCCCCTCTCCCAATCACCAAACCAGCAGGAAGAGTGTGGACTTGGCGTGAGCACTCCTGAGGGGGAGCTCCGGTCCCCTCTTGCCCTCCTGCCCCTCTCTGCGCCCTAGATTCCTTGTCTGGAGAAGGAGGAGGTTGGTCTCCTTGACATTAGAAAATCCCTCCTAGTGCGAACATTGTGATCATGTGATTCTATTTACTTTTAACAGGGACAGTTCGCCCCTTCTCCACTGCTAGGGAAAAGCAAGCCATCCCTTGCATGTCCATAGTTTACCCGCAACCCACTTCTTTTCACCCATTCCCCAGTGGACCTAGCCTAGACAAAGCCTACCCCTTCGCAGCCACACTCACAGTTGTTGCACTGGGTTTGGGAGGCCTGGCCTTTCCCCTTCTTCCTGTTCTGCTTCCTCTCTTCGTCTCGGATTTTTCTTTCTGCTCCCTGACAGGGAAAAACAAATGCAGACAATGCTAGGCATGTTACCAGAGCAACCGTCTGCACACAAGCCACAGGGATAAGAAACAAAATGTGCGGAGGAGGGCCAGGCAGCCCCGTTTCCATCCTCTGGCGAGGTCAGGCCTCCACTCTGAAGGCTGAGACTGCTCCTTAGTTTACAAGTACATTGTTGACCTCCAAGGGATCCCACTCTTCCCAGAGTTCCCCCTGTTCCCTATTGCAGTGAAGCCGGTTAAGTAATTTTACTAATTGTAATAAAATGTTGTAGGATGAAGCATCAGCTCGTTAACGTCATTCCTGGGCACGGAGGGGGGGCATTAAAGTTGAGCGCGAATTCCCTATAAAATTTTTCCTTTGCTCGTTGGTATGGAACTATAAAAAGTCATTACAGTAGAGGAAATGAGGGAGGGCATAAGTAAACTACAGAGGATTTAAGATCATTTTGTACATACAAGTATGATCTGGGGTTTTGTCTTAATATGTTCATATGCTCTTGGAGATGGTGCTCATCTGACCGAATAGAAAAGAGGCTGGTCTATTCGCCTCCTTTTTGCTCCTCTGCTCCTTGTATTTTGACTTTTTCATTGGCTTCTCTTGCCAAATCCATCTGACTTAACCAGTTGACTGTCACATTATGTCTCTTGCCTTCTTGGCCTTCCATGATTCTTTGAATATCTTCTCTTTCTGGTCAGCTTTGCTAACTCGTTTTCCTCTTCTCACTCCCCAAACACAGACATTCCAACACAGTTTCCTTTTCTTTTCTCTCTCTCCATTCTTATGACAGAAGAATTCATCTACACCCATATTTCCATGATGCTCTAGACAGGTGACATCCAGATACACACTCCCAGCCTAGACTCCTCCCCTAGGTTTCAGATCTGCATTTACTGGTCCTGCCCTTCGTGGCAGCTATTTAAGGAATAGTAAAGTAAGGACTGGCCAGCAACCTCTACCCCTAGAAACTGCCCCCAAGTTATCACACACTAAAGAGATAGATTTGAGAGTATACAACTTACTCCTTCTGTTAAACACACAAACAAATCGATTAAAAAGCAAAGGACAAGGGGACTTCCCTGGTGGCGTAGTGGTTAAGAATCCGCCTGCCAATGCAGGGGACACGGGTTCAAGCCCTGGTCAGGGAAGATCCCACATGCTGCAGAGTAAATAAGCCCATGCGCCACAACTACTGAGCCCGTGCGCCCAGAGCTGCTGCTCCACAACAAGAGAAGCCACTGCAATGAGAAGCCCACACACTCTTGCAATGAAGAGTAGCCCCCACTTGCTGCAACTAGAGAAAGCCCACGCGCAGCACTGAAGGCCCAACGCAGCCAAAAAAAAAAAAAAAAAAAAATTTATTTTAAAAAGAGGCAAAGGACAAATTGGTGAAAATACTTGCAATAAAATATCATATAAAGTGTTAAATCATTAATATATAAATAATGATTCAAATGAAAAAAATAACTAACAAACCAATAAAGAAATAGACAAGAGCCATGAAATAGGCAATTCACAGAAAAGGACACACAAATGGTTTGAATTAAAACACTGAAATATAGAGTTTGCTTATCAAATTGGCTTTTTATCTTTTTTTTTTTTTTTTTTTTTTTTTTTTTTTTTTGCGATAGGGGAGCCTCTCACTGTTGTGGCCTCTCCCGCTGCGGAGCACAGGCTCCGGATGCACAGGCTCAGCGGCCATGGCTCACGGGCCCAGCCGCTCCACGGCATGTGGGATCCTCCTGGACCGGGGCACGAACCCGCGTCCCCTGCATCGGCAGGCGGACTCCCAACCACTGCACCACCAGTGAAGCCCCAAATTGGCTTTTTTAAAAAAAAAGTTGATTCCCAATTCTGGCCAAAGTAAGGCCATGACACAACAGGGATGTATGGTCAATCACGGTATCCATCATGGCTTTAGAGCTAATTCTTGAAGAATGAGTGATTACAGCTAATCCTGATGGCGCACTTCCTCTGTGGCAGGTGAGTTCTAAGAGCTTTACATAGGTAAGATTTGGATAGTTATAATAGTTTCATCAGACATTTTAAATACGCATCTTTATGCCAAAAAACTTCTTTCTACCAAAAGGGAGTAATTATTTCACAGTGCTTCAAGTTTTGAATTGTCACTGATGTTTATAAACCATAGAAATCCATAGACAGAGGGAGAAAAAATATAGAAATATTTCCTTTGCAAGTCTCTTCAAGATATACTAAGGCTTTGTAGAGTTTTTTGCCTAGATAACGTATAATGTTTTCAGAAAATAAAGTGTTAAATGCACAAACATGACTTTGTTCAAATGGGTGTGAAATATAAGCAAAAGGCCCCTATTATTCATTTTTATTGTGTCCAAGTAAGACATTTTTCTCTGTATTTGAAAGTCTGTACAATATGGTATTTAATGTAAGTAGAAATATGGAAATTCTTCTATATAAATTACAACTCACCAAAGACACATCCCAAGGTTTGTCAAGCAATTTTATTTTTAAATTGGTGTTTTATTTTGTACAATTGCTATGAGAAAAAGGTCTGAAATTAATCTGTTTCAGGATTTATATATGTTCAATGTCAATTACTAGGAAATAGTCACCTGCTTATTATTTTACAGGTATTCTTTGATATGCCAAATCCAAAGGATTAACATAAAACATAGAGTAGCTCTCCATAGAGCCTAGTCCTAGTACCACATCTATGTAAGAAATTTCCTGCCCAGAAGGCTCAGATATCAGCACACCAAAACAATTCTGATAGTATCCAAACTTCAAGAGCCCCAGTTCTCATATCTAAAATAAGGCTTTGACTTCACAATGACCCAGGGCAGCTTTGATACATTCAATTAACATAGAGAAAGCATCCTTGAACATGACCTTCCAAGAATTCCTTTCCTTCCTTTGATTATTTGTGACGCAAAGCTTCTAGAAAATAATCTTTTCACTCTCATTAAAGCACAAAAAAGTCTAGTTCTTCCAGAATAGTATATTTTCTGCAAACATAAAATTTATCATTTGAAAATAAATTCCCCAACTTATATGTTCACTATGGAGTGTTAAATTTGAAAAAAGAAATATGCCTGAGGATTTCCTGACTATATTGTGATCACTTTTGCCACCTTTTGAGAGAGGATGGCTATCTTTATTATTTTATTTGACACTTAAATTGTTTCTCTTAAGTTTATTTTAAGAATGTGGCCTTCAATAAAATGGATAACCTGGAAGAAATGGATAAATTCTTAGAAATGCACAACCTTCCGAGACTGAACCAGGAAGAAATAGAAAATATGAACAGACCAATCACAAGCACTGAAATTGAAACTGTGATTTAAAATCTTCCAACAAACAAAAGCCCACGACCAGATGGCTTCACAGGCGAATTCTATCAAACATTTAGAGAAGAGCTAACACCTATCCTTCTCAAACTCTTCCAAAATATAGCAGAGGGAGGAACACTCCCCAACTCATTCTACAAGGCCACCATCACCCTGATTCCAAAACCAGACAAGGATGTCACAAAGAAAGAAAACTACAGGCCAATATCACTGATGAACATAGATGCAAAAATCCTCAACAAAATACTAGCAAACAGAACCCAACAACACATTAAAAGGATCATATACTATGATCAAGTGGGCTTTATTCCAGGAATGCAAGGATTCTTCAATGTACGCAAATCAATCAACCTGATACACCATATTAACAAATTGAAGGAGAAAAACCATATGATCATCTCAATAGATGCAGAGAAAGCTTTCGACAAAATTCAACACCCATTTATGATAAAAACTCTCCAGAAAGTAGGTGTAGAGGGAACTTTCCTCAATATAATAAAGGCCGTATATGACAAGCCCACAGCCAACATCATCCTCAATGGCGAAAAACTGAAAGCATTTCCACTAAGGTCAGGAACAAGACAAGGTTGCCCACTCTCACCACTCTTATTCAACATAGTTTTGGAAGTTTTAGCCACAGCAATCAGAGAAGAAAAGGAAATAAAAGGAATCCAAATCGGAAAAGAAGAAGTAAAGCTGTCACTGTTTGCAGATGACATGATACTATACATAGAGAATCCTAAAGATGCTACCAGAAAACTACTAGAGCTAATCAATGAATTTGGTAAAGTAGCAGGATACAAAATTAATGCACAGAAATCTCTGGCATTCCTATATACTAATGATGAAAAATCTGAAAGTGAAATCAAGAAAACACTCCCATTTACCATTGCAACAAAAAGAATAAAATATCTAGGAATAAACCTACCTAAGGAGACAAAAGACCTGTATGCAGAAAATTATAAGACACTGATGAAAGAAATTAAAGATGATACAAATAGATGGAGAGATATACCATGTTCTTGGATTGGAAGAATCAACATTGTGAAAATGACTCTACTACCCAAAGCAATCTACAGATTCAATGCAATCCCTATCAAACTACCACTGGCATTTTTCACAGAACTAGAACAAAAAATTTCACAATTTGTATGGAAACACCAAAGACCCCGAATAGCCAAAGCATTCTTGAGAAAGAAAAACGGAGCTGGAGGAATCGGGCTCCCTGACTTCAGACTATACTACAAAGCTACAGCAATCAAGACAGTATGGTACTGGCACAAAAACAGAAATATAGATCAGTGGAACAGGATAGAAAGCCCAGAGATAAACCCACGCACATATGGTCACATTATTTTTGATAACGGAGGCAAGAATATACAGTGGAGAAAGGACAGCCTCTTCAATAAGTGGTGCTGGGAAAACTGGACAGCTACATGTAAAAGAATGAAATTAGAACACTCCCTAACACCATACACAAAAATAAACTCAAAATGGATTAAAGACCTAAATGTAAGGCCAGACGCCATCAAACTCATAGAGGAAAACATAGAACACTCTATGACATAAATCACAGCAAGATCCTTTTTGACCCACCTCCTAGAGAAATGGAAATAAAAACAAAAACAAATGGGACCTAATGAAACTTCAAAGCTTTTGCACAGC